TAAAAAAAAATCTATTAAACTTAAAAAAAAATGAAATTCATACTCAATTGATATTTTTAAAAAAATGGATTAGATAAAAAAAAATGAAAATATGACAAGTGATTATAATAAAATTTCATCTTATGATTTGTTATTATTATAAATAGGCATTAATTCCAATTAAATAAGTAAAATTAGCGAATGAGATTTTAAGTTTAAATTAATTAATTATAAAATATTATCTTTTGATATTAGGAATTTCATCTAAATATATAATGAATGAGAGAAAATTCACAATTTATTTTAAATAAATAAAATAAAAATATTAAATAATAATATAATATATACTAGGTACAACATATAAATAAAGTAACAAATTTTATCACAAACGTACGAAAAAAATATTGGTTATAAAAACCGTGCATGGGAAAAAATTAGTGAAATCAATTGTTATGAGACTTACGACTGAAAGTAAAGTGAGATTAGAGCGATATACTATTGTACTTTTTAATTGATTTTGGTTATGGTCCCTAATCCCTATAATGTTTTATGCGAGAACGACCAAATTAAACAATGATTCGTTAATATTTGTTGTAGACTTTTAGCTAGACTGGAGGGAAACCATATTGACGTTCCTATTTCCTAAGCTATCAATAACTAATTATATACTAATCGGGTGGGAAAAAAAAAAAAAAAAAAAAAAAGAGGCGTGTGTACATTAATTTATTGTAAAACGGGTTAAAGTTATCTTAAAAGTAATTAAAGTTATCATTTTTAAAAATAAATAAATAAATAAAAAGCTATCCTTTATACTACAAAAGTTATTATTTTTCTAATAATAAATTTTATCTTACAAAAAACATATAATGTATTAGATTAATAACATTAGCATTTATAATATGTAATCATGATTCTATAAGAAATTACACATTAAAATAAAATTCAAACCTACGACAAATTAAAAGTTATCTTTGATCGTTTTAAAATAAAATTAACATACACCCGCCTTACACAAGACTTATTGAAAAAAAAAACTATATACTCGTACTAAAAAGACACACCACTACAAGAAAATTTATCAACAGAGGCAAATAATTTTTCATTACAAATTCTTAAATAAACCTGGTTCATACTAATTTATTGTGGACCACATTAGAGACACAATAATGGTCGTTTTATTAATAAAAAAAAATAAAAAAAAAGTCACTACATTTAAATAAAGGTTGGTATGTTGAAATAAAAGTCATTGTGGTATTATAAAGGCTATAAGAGGTTTTTTTTTAATGATTTTTTATATACTGGTCAATATGAATGAAGAAGATCACTATGTTAAATTAGGGTCTCTATGTTCAACATAAGGGTCACTATATTCAATATAACGCCAGTTACGTGCGAATAAACCTCAGCTCAGGTATTATTGTGGACCAGGTCCACGCAAGTTTTTTCCATTTTTAGCATTATAGTTTAATTGATCGAGAAAGTAGCTTTTCCTTCCACCCATTTAATTTTTTCCATATTTATCCTTAAGAGCCATGAACACCATCCTCTTCAATCTTCCAATAATGGTGGGAATACCAAAATATTTCCCGTGGGTATCAACTCTTCTCATTGCCAAAGTTTCGATCAATTCCTCTTGCATTGACGTACTGACACCCTTGCTAAAAGAGACCTCCGATTTATCATAGTTAATTTTCTGTCCGGAAGCTGCTTCATATGTGTTGAGAATTTCAACTATTTTCGAGCATTCCCTTCGATTGGCTCTTGCAAAAAGAAGACTATCATCTGCAAAAAGTAAATTAGAAATTTCCGGACCTTTCCTGCTAGCCCTAGCTCCATGAATCGAGCCATCAATCATAGCTTTCCGCAAAAGACCAGAAAAAGCATCAGCAACAAGAATAAAAAGATACGGGGACAATGGATCCCCTGTCTGAGGCCACGGGAAGGGGTCACAGAACCACACACCCCTCCATTAACAATAAATGAATACGAGACTGAAGTAACACAATCCATCACAATTCTGACCCAACCATCAGCAAAACCCATTTTTAGCAGGAGTTTCTCAAGAAAATTCCATTCAACTCTGTCATAAGCCTTGCTCATATCCAATTTCAAAGAAATCAAACCCTTTTTGCCCTTACACCTCGTTTTCATAGTATGAAATAGCTCCAGAGCTACTAAAGCATTGTCTGTGATAAGTCTACCCGGCACAAAAGCACTCTGGATTAGTGGATTACTAAACTATGATTATCTCTAAATGTTATTTTTAGCATTAGTGGATTATAGGATGCCCCTAAATGTTCTTTTTAGCATCAATGAAATTATTGTTGCCTCTAAAAGTTAGTTTCAGCATTAGTGAATTTAAACTTGCCTCTAAAAGTTCATTTTTAGCATTAGTGAAAATTTGGTTACCTCTAAAAGTTATTTATAGCAATAATGAATTTTATGAACCGGAAATTGTATGTAAATATAGTGATGCGTAAAAAGGGAAATGATTAAGTGGTTATTCTTCTTGTGCAAGCCTTGTAAAGTTGAAGCCTTTAATTTGTGCAACAATTACTTGGTACTTTGTTTTGACAATAATTTCAAATTGTTAAAAGAAAAATTAAATCTTAAAACAAAAAAATTAACCATCGTGTGAAATTTTTCGTATTTTATCTTTTATTTTTTAGTGTATATAATATTAATTTAATCGTAAAATCATATAATAATATGACGTGTAACAATTATTTTACTAATCTACAATGTACAACATAGCAGGGCACAAAAAATTGCCAAAGGCTTGACTCTTAGCGCACAATAATCGAGAAAGTTTTTAGCCTAGATTGGGGCGACCAGAACAGCGAATACAAGGCAGCCGTTAGCTTCATAGGGGTAGCAGTAGCTTCACAGGGGTAAATAGTGGCTTCACACTCTGTACTTGCTTGTCAAAGAGGCAGCAATGTGTTTTATGCCCAATAATGTCTTCATTTTTACTTTGTTAGCTACAATATAATAGTCTTGAGTTTTGGTTGTTTATACTCATCTGCAGTTATATCATCATGCTTTGAATGTGCATTTCCACCCAATCTAGTCATATAAGAACTAAAAAAAATCATAAATAGGTGTAAAATAAATATAAGAAATCAAAGTTAAAAAAAAAAAAAAAAACACTAATACGTATGTGCATAAATCAAATCATGATGATATATAAAAAATAACATCAAGTGTAAAGTAGGAACCTATAATTAGACGACAATAGTTTTATAATTATATTTTAAAAAATAATAATAAAATAAATTACGATTACTTTTCAGCAACCAGATTAATCACTGTGATCTCTACACCATTTATATGAAATAAGAAAAATATATTTTCAAAATAGGAAAAAATATAAGAAATAAATAAATACTTAATTACTTGATCTCTAAACCATTTTATGAAATCTCTTTTTTGAGAAGAAATCATCCTCTTGTTACTTATAGCATTGCGAGTGTACTCACTGTGATAGATAATTAGCAAAGTTATATTTTTTTTTTCTATAAAAGTAATCTTTATGCTTGCTAAAATATGTAAAACTTACTTAATAAATGGTTGTACTTCGTCACAATTATTCAGCACATAAAAGTGAACTTCTTCCCATTCCTCTGTAGTAAGTAAACGAGGACATTCTTTCCCAAATGCTCTACCTCTTGTCTCAAATATAGGTAGGATATCAGTTGGAAAATTTCACGGTCATCATAAATTCTATCCTGTTTGTTAAATCTTGTCTCTATATCCTCCATATATCTTGAACAAAATGTCAAGCATCCCTCTAAAAGATAACCTTCTGCAATTGATCCTTCTGAGTGACCTTTATTGCGTACATATCCTTTTAATTTTCCAAGATACCCATAGAAAAAAGTAAAAATTACATATTTATTTATCATTATTGTTATAAAAACAAAAAGAAATAAAATGAAATTTATCTACCTTTCAATGGGGTACATCCAACGATAATGAACTGGTCCTGGAAAAATCCTTTCTAGCTCACATAGGGTAACACCAATTTGTTTTTCAAGTTTCTCTAACTTATCAGTCTTCAAAGCCTTAGAACATAACTCTTTGAAAGAGATGCTCAACTGAATAAGTGGAGCAGACAATGATTTAGGCCAACCACGTATAGCAATAGGCAATAGATGCTCCATAATAAAATGATAATCATGGCTTTTTAATCCAGAGTGTTTACGTTCTTTAAGGAGGGAATTTTTTGAAATATTTTAAGCATACCCATCTGGAAACTTCACACTAGTCAAAAAATTACACAAATCTCTCTTTTGCTCCGAAGATAATGTATGAGGAGCCGGAGGTAGCTCTTTTGATTTATCAGGATGTATTATAGGGTGCAATGACTTTCTAAATTGCATTTCCTCTAGATCAAGACGTGCACTCAAATTATCTTTAGTTTTACCTTCAATTTCCAGTAGTGTCCCAAGTAAAGTTTCACACACATTTTTTTTCTATATGCATTACATCCAAATTATGACGTATCAAAAGACTACTCCAATATGGCTATTCAAAGAAAATGCTCTTCTTTCGCCATAATTTCTTTGGTTTTATCTTTTTCTTATTACATTCAGCTTGTTCAGCATTAATTTGTTGTAACACTTCCTCACCAGATAATGGTCTAGGTGCAGGTCTCAGCTCTTGTTCCCCATCAAAGGTTCTTCCATCATATCTCCATTTATGATCTAAAGGTAAGAGTCTACGGTATCACATATAACAATGTTTATTTCCATTTGGTAACCACTTAGAACAAGTATCACTATTACAAGACGGACAACCAACAGCTCCTCCAGTTTTCCAACCTGATAAATCACCATAGGCAGGATAATCACTTATAGTCCATAACAAAGATGCATGCATTTTAAAGTTCTCTTTCTTTGAAGCATCATATATATTTCAACACCAACTTCCCAAAGTAATTTTAGCTCCTCTATTAAAGGTTGCAAATAACATCAAACTTATCTTTCGGCCCCTAAGGACCTGGTATAAGCATTGAAAGAATGTTGTTTCATACAAAGAAGATTACATATAGCTCAAAATGCGTATGAACTACAAAGACTTAAGACAATTGAAGCTAACAAGACGAGGATGAAGACGTTGGGCATAAAGCGCATTGCTGCTTCTTTGACAAGCTTAGTAGATAGCTCAAAAGTTTAAACAAAAGTGTAATGCATCTCTTGAGAAAGATGGTGATTATGTACCTGATGAGAATGAAGAAGTTGAGTATGAGAAAGAAACTCACAATGTGACTTCAAACAAGAAGGTATTGCCTTTTTTTTTTTTGATTTATTTTGCTATTCAACTTTTAATACTGTAATACCCCGTATTTTTATACATATTTTAATTTAAATCATTATTTTATGAAGTATTTAAATAATTTAAAATGAATTATTTATAGTATTTTATTTATTTAAAAAGAATTATTTTTATTTATTTAATTTGTTTTAAAAATATTTTAATTTATTATTTAGAAATTTTAGGGCATATTATTTTATAAAAGGAAATTTAAAGTCAATGGTATTTAAAGAAAGTCAAATGACTAGTTTGAATAGGAGAAGGGATATTAAGGGTAGAAAGGGAATTTAAGTTTAGGAGGGTTTTAGAGAGGGGGTATAAATACCCGTCTTATGAGCAAGTTAGATCTTGCCCAAGGTGGAGAATATCCAAAGGTAAACTCTCTATCTCTCCTCTTATTTTCTTTCTCCTTTAATTTCCCCCCTCCCTTTTAGATTTTACACACATCGCCACACACACCACCACCATCACGGTGGCGGCCGGGCCGGCGGCAGCAGCCGTGGGAGGTGGCACCACCCACCCTCCCTTTTTCCCCCTTGTGTGCGTGTTTTAAAAAAAAATAAAAAAATTCTCTTCTTTTGTTTTAAAATTATTATAGCCTTGATTCAATTATTATTTTTGGGTTTTGTAATATTTTTATGATGTTTGATTATTTTTATTAAGTAAATAATTTTCAGATTTGGGTTTTGAATTAAAAAGCCCCAAATTGAGGAACCTAAGTTTCTAAATTAATGTATATTGATGGAAATTGATTGTAGGTGAATGAAACTAATAAATTAGATATTTTTAAACATAATTATAACAATTTTACATGTTTTTATAAAGCTAGAATTTTAATATAAAGGTTATAATTATGTTTCTTGAAGAGATTTTTAATTACCCATTAATTGGGAATAAAAGTAAGGGTTAAAAATTAATTTTCAGCTTGTTTTAGAGGGTTGATGAGCGATTTAAAGAGTGTATATATTGCTTGAAATTTATATTGAATAGGAATTAATGTCTCTTTGAAATTTTGGGTTGTAGAAGATTTCCAAGTGAGTGATTTTGTGTAGTCGTGGCGATTTTGAGATCATATTCAAGGTACGTTTGCGTTCTCGAGAATTATTTAAGTGTATAGAAGCATGCTAGGCTTTGTATAGTTAATTCCATGGTAGTATGATGTTAGGTGGAATTGGAATTGGCGATTGGATTGATGTTGGTGATTGATTTGTGATGTATGAATTATTTATGATGGATTAATGATTGGAATTAATTATATTGGCATGTTGAATATGAACTACACTTTTATTATTGGCATGATTGAGAGCATGTTTAACTAAACTAAATGTTTAATTTGATTTGGAATATGAAAAGAGAATTTTTATTGTGGTTCATATAATTTTTATTGATGCTTTAAGCATGGGAATTGAGCTATTAAGTGTCTTATTACATAGGGATAAATTATATTGCGGTGCCTACATGCACTTAAGGTGTTCTAAACACCGAGGGATAGGATTTGCGGTGCTTTATGCGCTTAAGGTGTTATTTAATACCGAGGTAGTTTAAAAAGGATTCAACGTTAAATTATGTGGTTACTAATTATTCAATAATTAAATTGGTATGCGATAAGCCGTGTTTTGTGCATGTTTGTTGTCTTCTTTTTAGTTGTTTTTATTAGTCTTGCTTAGTATTTTAGTCCATTTTGGTTTGATTTGGTTTAGTTTCGATGATTCGATGCTTTTATGGGTAATTTCGTTGTTTTTGATGTATTTCAGGATTAACGAAGCAAATATGGAGATTTTTATGAAGCCATGAGACTAAACCGAGGCCCACGGACCTTCACGAAGCTCATTGGTCGAAGAACGAGTCATTTAGGCCTTTTTGGAGTCAAGCACGGCCATGTATAATTGAAGAAAGAAAGAAGAAGTAATCTGGAAGCTAGGCACATCCGTGCCTAGGCCTCAGAAACTGAAGAAAACTATCTGGAAGTGAGGCACGTCCGTGCCTCATATAGGCACGTCTGTGCCCCTGCTGACTTCGAATTTTCATATGAGGCACGTCCGTGCCCAATATAGGCACGTCCGTGCCTGGAGTCCAGAAGATGAGAAAGAACCTTACACGAAGTGAGGCACGTCCGTGCCTCTTAGGAAGACTGCGCGATATATTTTTGTTGCGTTTTCTTATCTTTTTCGGAGTACAAATACTCTAGACTTTATATTATTTCATTATTGAGTATTTTATTAGCATCTAGTTTTTATTATTAGACCTAGTTCTCTCTATTATTTTTACATTGCTTTGTAATTCAAGATTCAAGTTTCTACTTTTGCAATCTCCATTTATTTCAAGATTTGGTATTTTCTTTTCATCTTTTGTTTCTTAATTATGTTTTCCTTGATTATTATTGTTATTTTTTCTTTCAATATGTGTGAGTAGTTTTCTTATTCCAAGATCTAGGGTAGCCCAATTATGATTGATGCATGATTTATTTCTTTAAATTCTCTAATAACTATTACAATTATTTATGCTAAATTGATTGTGATTATGCCAATACTAGATTAGAGATAATTAGTATTGTTATTATTCCATAGTTTCAATCACAACGAGAGTTGGGTTTTAACGGATTTGAGAAATTGATTTAGGGTTTGAGATTCATCACGAGAGTAGTTGAATTGATAATTGGGAAGTGAAGTAAAGTGTTTAATGTCTCTAATTTGCATGATACCATGAGAATAGGCTTGATTGTAGGTTAGGGAAGCCATTGATACTCGAGAGAGGTCCTTGGTATTGATTAGGGTTTACTTTTCCCCATGTTAATTGGAATTGTATAATAGGGGTAAATATATAATTGCATCGATCGTAATTGTGGTGATACTTGATCTTGGATGTTTTAGCTTATTGATTTATTATATTCCTTGATTTATTTTAAGTTTTCCATACATTAGCTCTTTGTTATTCCACCATTGATTTGATTCTTGCTTAGTAATTATTTGAGTCTAGATAATTTAGGTGAACCATAGTCTCTGTGGGATCGACCCTGACTTACCCTGCTACATAATTAGGAGGAATAGTTAGGTTATTTTTGCTAGGTGTGCGACCGCCTACCAGTATGTTTGATTACTTGAATGATTTATTATGATTGATTGTGTTATGGTTTAAGAGTTATCACCAAGTGTGACAATATGTAACCAACGTAAAGTGAAAGAGATTATGCATCAAAACTCTTGGAACATATATACCTTGAGTATGAACATATGGGGGGAGTTATGGGGTTTTATATTTTACCATGACTTCTACTGGGAGTGCAGGAAGCTGTATTTTCCTTTTATTTATTTTATGCGCAAGACGTCCAGTCACTTCATGTGGCATTTGCCTACCCGGTTAGCTCCCGGCGTACTTTACCTCAATTTATTTGGGGCAGGGATTTGGTGGGAAACCCGTTCGATGCATAATCAAATTAAATAAGCAATTTAGTTGTCTAATTATTGGTTGGTTGTGTTGTGTGCTTGAAAACAGGTGCAGCAAGGTAAGTTGTGTATTGATAGGGTTAAAGCATGTTAGTGTGTACTGTTTACACTTATGTACTTAGCATTGCTAATTGTGTGTTGTGTGTTTGTTTGGCCTTATCTTTATCTTGGCCCTACGACGACCCATTTCTAATGGCAAGTAGCGGGGACAAAGTAAAGAGGAGTTTTTCAAGTGTATAAGCATATTCATGATGGGCTGAGCAAGAGTGAAGAGCGAATCACATTTAGTTTTCATAAGAATATGATGTGGTTTGTTGCTTTAGTTATTATATATTTTGCTTGTGAGACTAACGCAAAGGTTTTCAAATGTTTTATCTCGGTTTTATTAAGGGCCTACAATGGTTCCAAGTTGTAGGTTGACTTTGGTTGACTTTACTTTCATTTGGTTTGACTTTTTAAGTTGACTTGATTTGAATGGTTTTAAAGAGAGTCTTCCGCTATGTGTCTTTGATAATTGCCTTAGCCGTTTTCACGGTGGCGGTAATGTCTTAAAATTTCCTATTTCATATTTTAAAAAAGCAAAACAACTATTTTAAAGAAAAGGAATTTCTAGAGTGTTACAAATACTTCCAGAATATATTGTTGAGATGTTGGCATGTTATTTTACCATTATGTATTCCAAATTTAGTAGTAGTGTAACTATTAAAAAGGTTCCTTCGTAAAGTTTTTCTTGGATACTATCGAATAATTATGCATTATCTTGTATTTGGGTACCTACTCTCTATTATAAAATTTTTCAGGTTAAAATTAATGAGATCAAAGAAAGGGGTCGAAGGAGAAATCTCATTCCACCAATGTCAGTTGCTAGGTTATTAAGATCAAATAAAGAAAAACAGGCAAGACATGTAAATAAAAATGCTGATAAAACCAGAACATCCATCAAAGCTGTAACAAGGTTTCTTTTTATACACTTATATTTATAATTTCATATACGACCAAGATATGCATTTTTCGTGAATTTTTAAATTTTAATACTTACTAGGATTTGAACAAAGAAATGATGGAGAAAGAAGTGTCATTTTAAAGGTTCATTTATTATTAATATTATTTATTTCATTATATAATCATCTATTTTAGAATGTTTATGCGATTTCTTAACTTTGGCATATTCTACTAACTTGACCCCAAAATGCACTTGACATAGGACGAGATGAAGTGCAACACTCTGAGAACAATAATGATAATGATTTGCAAGGTCGAGAAGGTTATAACAATTTAGATCAAACAAGAGACATTAATTTAGAAGATCAAGAAGATTTCAACAATGCAGACATGATTAGAAGTTATGATGATGAAATACCTATAAATGAAGGAGAAGACAACAATGGTATTTCTTATTATTTATTCAATGATTTTTATTTACATTGCACGAATTAATACATTCCAGAATGTTTTTATATTATAGGAACTAAAAAAAAAAAGAGAAAAACTTACAAGACTAACACTCCTAGAGGTCCTACAAGAAATCTTCAAATGGCAAAAATGAGACCTGGTGAGAAAAAAAAAAGGTGGATTTTAACATAAAAGGTCAGCCGATTGGTGTAAATAGAGCTTGTTTGGCAAGTTATTGTGGTGCCCTTGTACGAGATCCTCTTAATGCTCCACTTTATGAGGTGAAAGTATTTTCACAAACTCCGAAAGAAAATAAGGAGAAGATGTGGAAACTTGTTCGGGTATTTTTTTATTTTTTTTTGGATTTTATATCTTGTTACATATAGATTATGTTTTTCTTGCAATTTTTTTTTTTTTTTTTTTGGGTTCTAATAACTACATTTGTATATATTGTCAAGGAAAAATTTAATATAGGACTTGAGGATGAAGAGGAACGTGATAAGAAGTTAGAGGAAAGGAAAAAGTATATCATGGAATCTTTGAATAAGAAGTACAGGAATTATCGCGCAAGATTGAAGAGTACATATTATGATACAGTGGATACAAATGAAGATCGATTTAAAGAAGAAAATATGCCTCCAAATGTCGATGAAAATGACTGGAAATGGCTTGTTGAATATTTTGGGTCAACAGACTTTAAGGTATAGTATAATGTTATCATATGTTTCTTTATTTCTCTTTTAGTTTTGGACATCAATTATATATTACTTTTCAAATTTTAAAGGCCATAAGTAAAAGAAATGTTGACAATCGGTCTTACCAAGATGTAGGACATACTATTTACCAAAAAAAAAAAAAAAGATGTAGGACATACTGCTGGTACAAAGAGTTTTGCTCAAAAAGCCGAAGACATGGTAAACTCTTTTTTTTTTTTTCTATTTTTTTACCCAAAAAAAAATTAATTTGATGATGTGACTTTTTATAATATCAGTTCAAGCGTGACAAAGTAATGCCGAGCATGTTGGATTTATATGAGGAAACTCGTGATAAAGCACCTATCACTGAAGTGACAAAAGAAACCATGGTAAGAAATTAAGTAGTACATATAGTGTAGGAATAATGTTGAAAAATTATACTATATCTATAATATATTAGAAAAGCTAATGAACAAATCCTATCAATAACTTAGTTCATTATATTTTCATTTTTTATTTTTATATTATTAAAGATAGGGTAACTCTGGAAATAAATTGTGGAGGTGGTATGTGTTGTGATTTAAATGATGTTGGAGTTGTTTTATGTTTATTGTGTGACAAAGCAGGTTGAAACGACTATATTAAAGTTGGTTTTCAGTCATATTATAAGGGAAACATTTTATTTGTTATTAGTTAAAAAGACTTGTGACCTTTTTTCTCTCTCTAGAATCAATCTAGTATATAATTAATTGAGTTCATTTGTAAATATTAGTGTTTATTATTATTTTTCCCCTTTTTGTATAATCTTACATTTTTTTTATGCAGTAAAAAGTTAAAGAGCTCCTTGTGTAACGTGAGGCGGGAGAAATAGATATGATCGATGAAGAAATCTATGCAAAAGTTAAACCCATTGGTAAACGTGGTCGTTATCGTGGCAAGGTAGTTAGCCCTTCTATTACATCATTATATGGGACATTTAGTGAGGGAGCAAAGTTACGCAAAGAAGCTGATGTAGCAAAGAATGAGGTAATAGAGGCTAAAAAAGAGGCAAAAGAAGCTAATGTGAAAAATAAAGCCCTAACTAAAAAGATGAGAGGCCTTTAGAAGGAAATTGAGGTCATGAAAGATTTCATGGAGAATATTTTGAGCCATTTAGGCTATGATTTATCTGAAATAGATTCGGATGAGGTATATTTCATTATTTAATATTGTTATATGATTATTGAATTAAATTTAAAAATTATTTTTTATTTGTCATTGCATACTAATTATTAAATTATAGGTTAATGATAACATGGATGACGATGAGGATGATGATGAGAATGACGATGAAGAGGATGATGAAATGCAAGTAGATGAGAAGTATTAGTACTATTTATTTTCATTCATTGTAAGTTTTAGTGAAATTAATTTTAATCTTTCTTTGAATTTGATAATATTTATTTATGATCATTTATAGTTTTTTTTTATATGAATTAGTTATTTAAACTTATTTTAATTTAATTTTTCGCATTGTAACAAAAATTAATTTCATACTTTTTAATGACTAGAAAAATATATAATGAAGATGGCTAGAGATCGAATTAGAAGAAATTGAAGAAAATAATGTTGTTTTCAAGCTTATAGTTTTAGATGAAAACTCTTTCTTATTTACATTATCCAACTTTTTTTAATTATTCATGTGCATGTTTTGAAGTCAAGTAGTTTAGTAACTTAATTAATTTTTTTGGGATCAATTATGTAATGACTATTATATTATTAATAATATCATTTTTGTTTGATTTAATGAAATCAACTTGCTTTATTTATGTTATACTGACATGGTTAATCCTTTTAAATGATTTTGCCAATAAATAAACAACAAAAATTATATCCTAAAATGAAAAATTATTGTAATATAAATTTCTATACAATTAGAAACAATATATTAGAGGCATATATCATGTATTCTGCCTCGAAAAACCTTTCATGTCAAATTTCTGATTGACATCTAAATATCATTAGCATTAATATACAAAATTGCATCTAATTATATTTTGAGACAAAATTACATGATTGCCTCTTAATGTATATGGTATTTAGAAGCAAATAGATATAATGCCTCTAATTATATTTTGAGGCAAAATTATATGGTTACCCCTAATTATATATGCTATTTAGAAGCAAATTTTCATAATGTCTTTAAATATATTTAGGGGCAAGATTATACGGTTGCCTCGGGTTTTTAGAAGCAATGCATTGTATTGCCTTTAAAAGAGGCTTTAGGGGCAACCATGAATTAGCGACCAAATTTTTAGAGGCACTAGATTATTTATCTCTAAAAGTTATTAAGGCAACATCATAATTATAAGTAATTTTTTTAATGTTATTTTCTGGTGTGTCCCTAAATTTTATTTTATTTTTAAAAAAAAAAATTATTTAGGAAACAAATCTTATACATATATAAAAGAATAAAAAGATTTAATGTATCCTTCCACAATATATATTGATACCATAAACTTAAGTTTTAAAAAATAATCAAATTCCTAACATAATTTGTAACATACATAATATTATGTACTACTCTATCATTATTACAACGAAGATCATTTTTTGTAAAAGATTTTTTTACTTAATTATGTATGAAAAGCTTGCCAGGAAAGATATGAAAAAACATTTTAAGCCAGTTAATTATTGAAAAAAATACTGCATAAGAGAGAATAAAAATAGTGTGTATAAAATAAATCTATTTACAGGTTAAATACATATTGTTAAGATATATATTCATTTGGTTAACAAGAAGAAAATGATATAAATTTGTTGGTGAAATATACTGTATATAAATATACATATATGCGTATTTTAAAAAAATCTTTTTTGCTAATAATAGGTTCTTTTATAATAAAATCATTTTACAAAGTAACAACTTAGACTGATTCATTTTTTTATAATTAAAAATAGTGTAAATTAAGTAATGGTTATTGAAAATTACCATATATGGCACGATACCTAACCTAGTTTGTTACTATCTTCCTATCCCGCGGGATCGTGAATATGGTTGATAAGGAGAGAGAGCAAGAGATCAAACGGACGGAATGACAAGCGAGTAAATTTAGTTACTAAGACAATTAAACAATTTTCAAGGAACATTCAAAAAAAAAAAAAAAAACGGGACAAAGAAAAAGAAACAAAGCAAGTATGTCTCGAATTTTCCGAATATGTGGTGAATAATGCATGGCTTGCAGGAGTTTTGGATAACAGCAGTAGCTAACGATTTTTCCTAGTCAGCAAACCCCAACCTTACTCCTAGGCCGTAGCCTTGTACCATATCAAAATATGTAGTGGACCAGTGTAGACCACTACAACTGCGGCTGAGCTATCTCGTAACCTCGTAAAACTTAACGGTTGAAATTGATACAAGCAATTCATTTATGATTGCATCTAAGGGCAGTAATGGACTAATGGTACTCCATTTAATAGATAGTATAAGAATTTATTTAGATCCATTGGGATACCTAATCAATATATACTCCGTATTTTGAATAAGGTTAAGAGTCACTCTTCTCATCACTATTGGAATAAAATCTCGATCCAAATCACTAGATATGTTTTTTTTCCCCTCAATTGGAAGTATCTACGTCAATTTGGCAATTTGACAAAGTCATCGTGGTTTATTGATCTCAATACATGCATATCATATTAAACCTAATCTTTGGTCTTAAACATGGTATTTCAGACTCGATATCAAATATGAGTACCCTCAAAGAAAACAATAAACAAACAAAATAAAGTTAATACTCGTAATAAATACCAAAGTAACTATAATAATATTATTAATATTGATTCACTAACAAATATTTAACATAATAATATAAAGATAGGAAAATATTTTTCTATCATTGAAAGTGCGCGGCACATCAATTTAGAAGCTCGGTTGTGTTTTGGGTGAATCCAATAGGACTAGGAGGTGAAATGTGTGCACCAGGAGGTAGAGGACAACCCGGTGGACTTATCGGGCACGGGGCTCCATTTAAGAAATAACACCTACATTCCCAAAGATGAATAAAACCACCAGGGGCAGCACAGTCAGCTTGTATATTGCCAATTCCTGTAAAACATGTTGAACATAAATGTAGACACTTCTCAAAGTCCGGGCATCCTCCTGGTATTTGTGAAAAATATGTTGAGCAAGTATCATCTCCTCGAGCTTTCCCTGCATTCTTATTTTTACATCGTAATATAAAAAACAATGTTAGTTAGTTTTACAACTTTTAACCAAGCCATGAAACTCCTAACACTAAAAAAAATAGATAATTACATAACTTTTCATAACTTTCAAGTTTCAATATAATATTGTTTTCCTGTACAAATACATGTGATATATCACAAGTGTTAGCACGAGCGAATTCTAATTCTTATAGTAATAAATTAGTCATGTCTATTTATGAATGAGGTTTGTTTATGCGTGCATGCATCATACATGCATTATTACATCACTAATATACATGTGATTTGACACACATAACTCTTTCTATAACAATCGAATAACACGTACAGTTGCCTCCATTAATACTTTATAAACTGTTACAAGTGAGAAATTACAGTGCATATATCAATGCATGAAGCTTTCATATCATTTAAATCAACTCCATATATACGTATAAATTATCGTTAAACCACTTTTGTTTTTATATAAAAAAATATAAGCTAATTTTGAAAGAACAATTAGATTACTCCATAAGATGTAAATTTTAATTGAATACAAAGTACATAATGCAAGATATTTAATTTGATTATAATAACTTGTTAAGTAATTAATTATTTCAGACATACATCTTGAATATATATACGACGAAAAATTGAATTTGCAAATTAAAAGAATGGGCAAAAAATTATTATCGGGAGAAGTAGCAACACGAACAACCAACGCAATAAAAATAAAACTGCAAATTTAGCCATTTCAAACGCAGAAGATTGTTGCGCACTTGTAAGTAAAATCAATTAGAGTTATGGTCTTTAATTTTGGGGTGCGA